ATATATATAGCAACAATAGTGTAGTTTAGGAATATTTTATTTATACATTTATATTCAATTGATATACCCATGTATTATTATTTTTCCTACCTGATATTATATAAATAAAAAAAAAAAAATAATAATAATAATTTAGATTTATTGTATTAATATAAAGATAATAGTTATAATACTATTATTACTGTTGATATATATTTAAATAAGCAACAGATTTTTGCACATTCAAATATTTTACATGCTAGATCAACTTATTTTCAAAATGCTTTATCTGAAAATTGGGCTAAAAAAAAAAAATCACTTTTTTGTCTTATCACAACCTTATATTAGTGCATTAATATTCAATATTATTCTCAAATATCTATATTGTAGAATTATTGAATTGAATAATTTAGATATTGATATGATTTTGAAACTCTTAGTTGCTGTTGATGAGTTGTCAATTGAAGAACTTATTGATTTTATACAAGACTATTTAATTAATAACAATTTATTTGAATTACAATCATATAAAATATTGAATTTTATCAATACTAAATCAATGTTTACAAAACTTAAGAAAAGTTTACTCAAAATTATTTGCAAACATTCAATAGTCTTATTTGACTATGATGAATTTCTTGATTTAGATAAAGATGTTTTAAAGTTGGTTATTGAACATGATAATCTTGATATGAAAGAAAGTGAGATTTGGAATATTTGATTAAATGGAGTAAAAATAATTTTGAAGAAAATTTACATGAATTAATTAATTATATTAGATTTTATCAGTTTATTCCTAATGAATTTATGAATGAAGTATAGAATGATAATAATCTTTTATCTAAAGATTTACTTAAAGATATAATATATTACTTTTTAGATACAACATGAGTATCAAAATAAGATACATCATTTATTAAATAGAGAAATTTTACAATCAAATCAGATTTGATTAATCAAGAGATTGCTTTAATCCTAACAAAGTTAATAGATAAAAAAAAAGATGATGAATCAAAAGGATTCAAATATAAATTCACTTTGTTATATAATAGTTATTTAGATGGATGGGCACCTCAATTATTTCATTCTAAATGTGATAATCAAGGTCCAACTATCATAGTAACTAAAATTTTAAATACAACTCTTCTTATAGGTAGATTTAATTCACTTGATTGAAATGGAAATTCACAATATAAGAAAACAGCAGATAGTTTTCTATTTATAATTGATTATAAAAAAATAAATAATTATGTAGCAACATATGCTAAACATGATCATATTGAACAAGCAATATATTGTGATGATAACTGTAATCCAACTTTTAGTGAATATGATTTTTATATTACAGATCTTAAATTTTAAAATATATTCCAAAATCTTATAATAGAATAGTAAACAATCATAGTTTTATTTTAGATAGCTATGAAGTTTTTCAAATTAATAAAATAGAAGTTTAACAATATTATTATTTATAACAATTATATATTATCTATTTAGTTTATAACTGAATAGATTTTTTTGTATGTAAAATAAAAATGATTTAATCACTTTCAATTAAAGTTATTGTGGCTTTGATTTTATTTTTTTTATTATTTCTTCTTTGTTATATTATTCTAATATCAAAGAAGATTACAAAAATTATTGTATTCACAGAAACCATTAAAGCTAAAAAGACTACATATGCAAAATTATTTGAAGATTATTTGAAACAAAGAGGATATTCTGTTTATCAATTTATTGAAGCTTCACTTGAAGTTTCTGAGAAACTTGAATTGTTTTACAAAACTCAAAACTTTCTGTTTTTTCAATATATAGTTATTAATCTCTATAAAGAAAGAGCATCACGTATTAAAACTTTAATGAATTATGATTACATTATTAAAGATCATACTATCAGAGACATGAATATATTTAACAATTTTGTTAATAATAAAGATGAACGAGAATATGTGAATAAGAAAGTTATTGAAACTGATCATTTTGAATTTTATAAGGTTGTTTATATAGACTTACCTCTTAGAACAACAACTAGATGTAAAAAGAAACAAGGTAGATATGGTAAAATATGTTTAAATAAATATTTAAAACAACTTTATACTTTATATGAAACTAGTATTGATACTATTTATCTAGAACATATTAAGTTCAATAATAAAATTGTTTTATATAAAGGTTGTATTAATTTCAAACTATGTCAAAAGAAATGCGATCATAAATCTTATGATCTTTTTTTTAATTAATTATTATAATATTTATTATTAAATATTCAGTTTAATAAACTGAATATTTTTTATTATTAGTAAACATAGATTCTCAAGACTCATTGATTATTAATATGATGCAAAAAAGTCTTCTTTTCTATAATGTTTATGTAATATACATCTTACAATACTTCCTAATGAAGAATTTAATGAATTTAAAAGAAATTTTTTAGTTTCTCTTGTTAATAATACTGTTAATACTTTAATTCAAAATCAAGAAGTGTCTTGAGAAATTGTTCATTCTAATTTGAATTCAATTGAAGAGATTAGAACAAAAATTAAAACTTCATCTTATAAAGAACTTTTAACATTTTTAGAAACTTATTCTATTAAGAATCTTATTACTAACATACTTATTCCAGTTTCTAAAAAATTGAAATTAAATAATTAATGTTTAAATTTTATTTATATTATTTTATATTTTATTTAATTTTATCATTTATATTAATTTATCAAATCAAAATGACCAGATAGATTTTTTTATACATAATATTTATTATGTTTTATGTTTCTAAGAAAATTCTTTTACAAATATTTAAGTTTGTTCTTCCTCAAGTTATTTTTATAACTGATAAACATTACTTTTAACTTAAGAATGTTTGTATTCTTTGGAATGAACTTTGTAAAGATATTCATCATGAACATGGAGTTAAGTATTGTTTAGTTGAAAAAAGTCCTCTCACATATGAACCTTCTTCTATATTATCATTTTATATGATATTTGAGACTGATAAAATCTATATCTGTTTCAATGATTTAAAATTTAAGTTGAATACATTAGTTAATAAATTTGAGTATGAAATTATATTGATTGATAATAATTTTCATTTATTACAATCAAGTGTATTGTCATATTTTGGAAAGACTCTTTGTGATTGTTGCACTTCTGATGAGTAATATATTAAGAGCGATTATGTATTTAATCTGAATTATAATTGTCAAACTATTTTCTGTCCAGCTAGAAATAGACTTGTTCTTAGTTTATTCAATCATTTGAATGGAATATATAAATATCATGTTTATAATACTTGTATAGCATGTCATAAAATATTTTTATTGAATTCAAAAAAGATTTAATTATTACTTAAATTATTTTTATTTCAATTCTACAAAATTGAATCTATTTAGTCAATGACCAGATAGATTTTTTTATATGTAAAGATGGATGAAATTATTAATGAACTATATAATTTGATTTATAAAGAATCAACTAATCAAATATTAAAAGATTATTTAAAAAAAAATAATTATGATTTTAAAAAAGTCATTGATTATTGTTTAAACAATCAAGAAAATTCTAAAGCTTTAATTGTTCTTGCAAAAATTGAAAAAAATAAATTCAAAGCATTTGAGTATTATAATAAAGCAGCTAATTTGAAAAATGCTGAAGGAATATTTAAAACAGGATATTGTTATAGATTTGGATTAGGAGTTGATAAAGATATTAAGAAAACAGTAAATTATTTTAAAAAATCTGTTGAATTCGAATATTCTAAAGTAGAGTTTCAATCCATAAACTGTTTATCTATTTATCCATCAGATATCTGATATCTGATAACAGTTGGACAAGATGAATTTAATGAATGGATATTCAAATAATCTGATAAATTATCTGGATTATATATTGTTTTTTAAGCAGAATCGATGTAGAGATAACCATTTTATTGATTGAATATTGATAATATTACTTATCAGTATTATATGATAATAGTTAAGTTACAATGTATAGCAACTTATAATTTAAGTTATAACATATTACAATATGTGTATATGCTGTATTATTTGTACATATTATGCTGTAAATAGCATAGCAGACTTTAATTGTAATTATAAGAAAGTCATATTAAAGTAATGATTTGCTGCTACAAAAATGAATTTGCAGTCACGAATACAAATTCGCAGGTGTTACAATATAAAAAATTAGAAAATACCCTTTTGACTTTACAACATACTAAAATAATTTGGTATTTGGTAAGGTAATTCGGAAGTTAGATGAAACAATTTGTTAAAAACTCATTGTGCAAAATGCAGATTCTAAATTTTATTCATCGAAATGGTAACTCGTTTGGTTTATTCAATTTCTGACTAATTAAAATTTTGTTTTCAATCTATTAATTGAAATGCTTGAGAACACTCTTAATATATATATATTTGTATCTGTTTATTTAAACCTATTAATGTGCAAAACTTAAACAATTATTCCTGTTAATTTTAATACTTAATCACTGCATATTTAGTTAATATTCTTATATACATACCTGCTTATTAAACCTGGATATTAAGACTTAAATTATAATTCCTGCTAATTTTAAAATTTATTAATGTACAGGACTTAAATAATTGTTTCTGTTAGTTTTAACATCTAATCTCCGCATATTAATTATTATACATTCATACTGTATATTTAAATCCAGATATTAATTTTAACATTTAGAGTACTCTCAAGCATATTTCTCAATGTGATTTGCTAGTGATCGAGATCATACACAAGCACTATGATTTATTGAAGTAATTTTTATAGAAGATTTATAGTATGGAATGCGAATATTAAATTTTGGCCAATTGGTACAACTCTATAATAAAAAAAGAGACTTAATAAACTGAACTATTTTTTTTTGCTATATAATTAAATTGAGATTCGGCCTATTAATTTAGATGCTTGAGAGCACCCCTATTCTCTGCATATTAGTTAATATACATACATTTATACCTGTCTATTTAAACCTGGATATTAATATGCTAACTTAAATTATTGTTTTTGTTAATTTTACTGCTTAATCTCTGCATGTTTAGTTAATATTTGTATGTACGTACCTGTCTATTTTAAGCCCTATAATATACAAGACTTAAATCATTATTCCTATTACTTTTAATGCTTAATCTCTGCATATTTAGTTAATATATGTACATGTACATACCTCTTATTTCTGAATATATAATTGATTTATCATTTTATTTCTTACTGTTATTTCTCTTAAAAATTTTAAAAAATGTAATTAAACAAAGGTGTAATAAAACTGTGAATCCTTTATTTTGCAAGTAGCATGACAAAGTTCATTACTCCTGTTGTTCTTTTAAAATTTTAAAAAATGTAACTAAACAAAGATATAATAAAATCGTGAATTCTTTATTTTGCAAATAGCATGATGTAGGCTTCAAAATTAATTATTCCTGTTGTTCTTTTAAAAATTTAAAAAATATAACTGAACAAAGATGCAATAAAACCATGAATTTTTTATTTTGCAAGTAGTGTAGCATAGCTGCAAAACTCATTATTCCTGCTATTATAAGAAATAAATAGTAATAAACTTTTAAATTGTAATTGTTAAAATAAATATATATATACGTATATTGTTTATCGGTTTTAGCTTTGACTTTTTTTTAAATCCTCAGCATTAGTTTTTTAAAAATGTCAGAAAAACATTCTAACAACCTTTCTTCAATCAAAAGTTTAAGTAAAAAGACAAAAGCTTTAACTAGAGGTGAGAAATGCAATAAAACCAGTTAGATCTGGAAACATTTTAAAAAAGGTGTAGATGAAGATGACACTCCTGTAATAATATGTCAAGAAAAAAAAGATGATGGTACTAAATGTAGTATACAGTATGTCTATTCCAGCAGGTCAACAAGAAATGCAATTGTCTATCTTCAGAATTCCTATAAAATATGCAACAATAGAAAAACTAATATTTGTAATTAGATCTATTACTATATTAGTTAATATTTAATATATATTTTTAATTAATAAAAAATCTTAATTTAGAATAAAAAACAAGTCTTATCAGGAAATAGAAAACATCTGAAAGCCTATCAGATTCAATTACAACAATCTCTTATGACCTGGATAATAAATGATTCACAACTTATTCATGTTGTAATTAATGAAACATTTCATAAATTTATTTATAACTTAGACCTGGCATTCATAATTCCATGTATGGAAACTGTAAAAAAATTAATCTATACAGTATATGATTATAGTTTACCCAAGCTTCAAGAAAAATTAATTAGTGAAGCTATTTCAGTATCATTAAGTATAAATTTGTGAATGGCTCACAGCCGCCATAGTTACCTTGGCATAACATGTGCATTTATTAATAATGAGTGGAAATTGTGTGAATTGGTCCTTACAATAAAATATGTTTGATATCTGCATACAGCAGAACACATAAGTAAAGAATTAGAAACTATTATGCATGAATAGCAAATTGAAGATAAAACTTTTATTATTACTACAGATAATAGTCGTAATGTAAAAAGAGCTATTTTGGATATGAAAAATGTTGACTGGTTAAATTGTACGGCGCATACATTGCATCTGGTGGTTCAAAAAGGGTTAATTTCAGCAAAAATATTAATTAAAAAAGTCAAACACCTAATTGACTTTTTTAAGAGGCCTAAACAAAGTGAGCATCTTGAGGAAGTTCAAAGTAAATTTCTTGGAATTAACAAAACAAATAATTTAGAAAATGAAAATTATAGTAATAATGATAATAATACTAAGGTAATATATGTATTTATAATTATTTATTTACAGATTACAGTCAGACCTCGTTATAGCTACTTTTGATATAGTTACACCTTGTTATAATCACATTATTTTTAATCTTATTTATAATTAGATCCATTATTGTTACTCTTGAAATACAGTAGTCATACCTTGTTATAGTCACACTATTTTTTAATCGTATTCATATATTACAAACTATACTTCTATATAGTTACAACCTTTTACAATTATCAAATTCATGTTTTCTAATTTAGTAATTATATCAAGGTCTGACTGTATTATATAATTAATAACTTTAACATGTATATATGTTCTAATTTATCAGAGCATCAAAAATGTTTCTGAATACTTACATATTATCGCCGATTGCCCCACATGATGGAATTTGTTATATCTTGCTTGAAATCAGCTTCTTAAATTAAAAGATCATATTAACCTTTTTGTAAACCTCCTTTCAACTAAATCTGAT